AACGGGCGCGACCGACGGCGCCGGCGACGGCGCGGCCGAGGGCGCCGGCGCCGGCGCGGCGGAGGGCCGCGGCGACGGCGCGGCCGACGGCGCGGCCGTCGTCGGGAGCGGCGCGGGCAGCACGCTCGGCCCAAACGACGGCGCCGTGCTCGGCGCGGGCGACGTCGGCGCGACGGACAAGGTCGGCGCGGCCGTCGAGGGCGCCGGCGTCGGGGCCGCGCTCGGCGCGGGCGTCGGCGCGGGGAGGCACGACAGCGTCGCGTTCGAGAGCGACCAGCCCGACCCGTCCCACTCGCGCCACGTCGCCGCCGCGAGGTCCGGCGACCGCGCGGCGTCGACGACGTACATGGCCACGGTCAGCGAGCCGCAGCCGTTGGGGCCCACGAACCAGTAGTTTAGCTCGTCGTCGTAGTAGAGCGCCGAGGCGCCCGCGCAGTCGAGGCACTCGTAGAAGGGCCGGCCGGCGCAGGCGTCGCCGCGAGACACATAGACCCCCATTCGGCTCGCGTGGATGGACCGGTCCGAGCCGGCGACGGCGACGGCGCCGCAGGGCGCGGCCGACGGGGCCGCCGTCGACGGCGCGGGCGACGGCGCGGCCGTCGTCGGCGCGGGCGCCGGCGCGGCCGTCGTCGGCGACGGCGCGGGCAGGAGCGTCGGGAGGCCCGACGGCCGCGGCGACAGCGACGGCGCCGCCGACGGCGCGAGCGACGGCGGCGTCGACGCCGACGGCGCGCGCGTCGGCGCGGGGCCGACGGCCGTCACGGCCCCGTCGCTCGCGGCCCAGCCGGCGCCGTCCCACTCGCGCCACGCGACGGCCACGCGGTCCGGGCTCCGCGCGCCGTCGACGGCGTACATGGCCACGGTATGCGAGCCGCAGCCGTTGGGCCCGACGAACCAGTAGCCGAGGCCGTCGTCGTAGTAGAGCGCCGAGTGGCTCGGGCAGTCCGCGCAGTCGTAGAAGGGCCGGCCGCCGCACTCCTCGCCGGCGGAGACGTAGAGGCCCATGCGCCCCGCGTGGATGGCCCGCGCGGAGCCGCCGACGCGCGCCGCTCGGCGGCGCCGACGCCTGGAGCGTCGGCGCGACGCTGCCGCCGCAGGAAACGCAGGCGTCCGCGGCGAGCGAGCCGTCGTCGCCGACGACGGCGCAGCGCGGCGCGTAGTCCGCGACCCAGGCGCAGTCCTTCGACGGCGCGCCCCGCTTGTGCCACGGCGCGGCGGCGACCGTGGGCGGCGCCGACGGCGGGCGCGAGGGCGCGGCGACGCCCGTCGGCGCGTAGGTCGACGGGCCCGGGCTCGGCGCGTAGCGCGTCGGCGGCGCCGTCGGCGCGTAGGACGGCGCGCGCGACGGCGCGGCCGAGGGCGCGGGCGACGCCGACGGCGCGCCCGTCGTGCCGACGACGGCCCCGGCGTTCGCGCGGACGCGCGCGATCTCGTGGCAGTCGAAGGGGTCCATGCGGTAGTAGTCGTAGGGCGCGCACCACGAGAGGTCGGCCTTGGCCCGGGGCGTCGACGCGCGGTCCCGCGAGAACTCGTCGACGTTGCAAAAGTCCTCGGCGATGAGCCCGCCCTCCTCGTGGTAGTAGATCTTGTCGAAGTTCTCCACGTAGGCCCCCTCGACGAGCACCTCCGGCAGCACGTCGCCCTCGGCGATCGCGCGGATGCCGTAGTAGCTGTGCGCGTCCTCGTCGATCCAGAGCGTGTTCACGAGGTGGACCCAGCCCACGTCGATCTTGGGCTCCCGCGAGTTGCCGTTCAAAAACAAATTCTCGTAGAACGTGATCCGCGCGGACTTGTCGTCGTAGCCGTAGTTGCCGAGCCGGCTCCCGTGCTTGATGTTCATGTTCTGCTTGTAGGTGTCGAAGAGGCAGCGCTGGACCGTCACGAAGGTCACGGGCGACTGGAAGTGCATCGACTCGTCGCACGTCTCCGTGTTGCAGCCCTCGTAGTCGAACGTGAGCTTGTCGAAGAGGAAGTGGTGGCCGCCGCGGAGGTAGAAGACGTCCGCGCCCGGCGAGTCGGCCTCGCCCTGCTCGAGCCGCAACTCCCGAAAGACGATGTTCCAGCAGTCCCAGAACACGAACATGGACTTGGAGTCCGTGTCGTCGCTCCAGCGCAACGTGTGGCGGTGGCCCTCGACGGTCTTGTCGCTCCGGTCGTAGAGCACGACCTGGGGCATCGCGAAGTCCGCGCGCACGTGGATGACGAGGGCGTCGTCGGATTCGAGGAACGCGGCCAGGTCCGCCGCGGTGTAGGCGTCGACTTCAGCACCATCTGACCCGCCGTAGACGACGCCTGCGGTCGCCCAGGCCGCGAAGCCCACAGCGCCGTAGGGGTTCGCCGTCGACACGGCGCCGTCGCGGTGGAGGGTGACGTCGACGACGTCGTCCGTGCCCCACTCGCGCGGGTAGTAGCGCGCCCGCGCCTCGCTCTCGGAGACCGCGCAGCCCGCGATCGGGTCCGCCTTGGGGCCCGGTCTTCCGAAGAGCGCGCCGGCGCCGGAGCACGTCACGGCCTCCGGGGTCGTCGTGATGGAGAGCGTCGTCGCGGTTTTACGGACGGGCGCCAGGACCTCCGCGCACGCGCAGCACGACCGGAAGGCGGCGACGCCGCGCGCGTCGGCGAGCGCGCAGCGCGCGGCGTCGGGCCGCCGGCTCACCCAGCCGCAGGTGCGCCGGCGGCCGCCGGCGTCCGCGGCGATCCAGAACGGGTCGTCGGCGCAGCGCGGGGCATCGTCGGCTCGCGCGGCGGCGACGACGACGAGGAAGAAGGGGACGCGGCCCATGTGCTTTCGATCCGCTGCGTCGAGAGGGCGCGTTTTATGAGGTGACGACGGTCCTGCGCGTCGAGATTGGTGCGACAGCAACGCCGAGTGGCTGGGAGGGCGCGGTTTATGAGGCGACGACGGTCCTGCGCGTCGAGATTATTGGTGCGACAGCAACGCCGACGCACGGAGAGCGCCGCACATGCCGGGAAAGAGGCTATCTCCGAAGACAACGTACAAAGCATCGTCGACTTGGGGCTGCATCACGACCTGCAATCACGACCGGCTTGAACTTCGGCGCAGTGCGTGAGACATGGCTTCTTCTCCTCGCCCGAACTGCGCGATGGTTTTGCCCCGCCTCGCGCTCCTCGCACTCCTCGCGCCCCGCGTCGGCGCGCTCGTGCCGACGCTGCGCCGGCCCGCCGCGCGGCGCGCCGTCGCGCGGGCCCTCGACGACGACATCTTCGCCGAGATGGGCGGGGGCGACGCCCTGTTTCCCGCGAGCGCCGACGACGCCCTCGGCCACCCGGACCACGACTACCTGCGGGACGACGACGGGTCCTGCGCCGTGGACCTCGACGCCGTCAACGGCCTCCTCGCCGAGCGGCTCGACGCGAAGCGCGACCGCAACTTCCCGCGCGCCGACGAGCTGCGCGACGAGCTCATGCGGACCCACGGCGTCCGCGTCTGGGACCGGGAGCGCACCTGGAGCGCGCAGCCCAAGAATTCCTTCCGGCGCCGCGAGCCGCGGCCGCTGCCGGAGGCCCACGACTACGCGCGCGGCGGCGACCTGTCGGCGCCCGTCGATGAAACCGCCGTCGACGCGCTGCTCCTCGCGCGCATGCACGCGAAGATGGGTCGCGACTTCGGCCGCGCCGACGCGCTGCGGGAGGAGCTGTCGAGGGACCACGGCGTGCGCGTCCACGACGGGACGAAGACGTGGATCGCGGGCGTCGCGGCCGCGAACACGGACCCCTGGGCGCGGCCCGCCGACGACTACGCGCGCGCGCCCGGGCGCGACGACGGCGCCGTCGACCTCGACGAGGCGGCGGTCGTGGCCCTCGTCCAGCGGCGGTCGACGGCGCGGCGCAAGCAGAACTGGGCCCTCGCGGACGACCTCCTCGACGACCTCCTCATGATCGGCGTCGACGTCGACGACAAGTCGAAGACGTGGCGCGCGGTGGCGACGACCTACGACTTCCCGGAAGACCTCGTCGAGGACGCGGGCGTCGACGTCGACGCCGTGCAGCGCCTCATCGCCAAGCGGTCGCGGCTCAAGCTCCGCCGGAAGTTTCACGAGGCCGACGGCATCCGCGACGCGCTCCTCGCGGAGCACAACGTCCACATCGACGACAAGAAGCGCACGTGGAGCATGCAGAAGCGGCGCCTCGGGACCAAGGCGGAGCTCGTGCCGGCCCTCGAGGACCTCGACTGACGCGCGGGCCCCGCGAGTTCCGGGGGCGGCGCCCGCGCGCGGGTGCGAAGCCCGCCGCGCCCGGCCTAACCCGGATGCACGCTGGTTTTGAGGGAGTGGGGGACGGGGCGCTCGAAGCTCGACGTGCGGCGCGCTCGCGACACGGCCAAACACGGCCAGGCCTACGGCAAGTCCTGCGAAAGTCCTACAGCTGAGGCACTTCAACTTGCCAGGATGAAGGGGGTCGCGCCCATCAACTCGCCCAGCCACCGTACGACCGCGCCGTCGCCTGAGGCGCCCGCGCGGCAACCGGGACCCCTCCGCGGCCCGCCCCAGCCACTCAGCCGCAGCGCTCCGCGCTGCGCCGAGAGTCGCGGTTCACGCCCGAGCCGCATCTCTCGCCGGTCGCCGGGTCGCCAGCGGGAGCCAGAAATGAACTGGAGGTGTAGCAGTCGGTAAAGCGCAGGGCTCAGTCCACACCCTCGCCCGGCGCCGCCCGACGGGGACCCCCTTCGACCCCTCCGCTCTCCGGCACGGCATGGCGTCGGCGAGCGCCGCGCCGGCGCGCGCCGCGGCCGCCGGCCCGCCGGCGGCGGCGGCGGCCGTCGCCGCGCCCGGCGCGATCGCCATGGGCCTCGCCTACGCGCGGAACCGCGCGAAGCGGCTCTACCGGGGCCTCGTCAAGCTCTGGCGCTTCCACGTGAGCGGCCGGCACAAGCGGCGCGCGGGCGGCCTCGTGCTCCGGGCGGCCGAAACGTCCGGCGAGGAGATCCTCCTCATCAACAGCCGGAAGAACCCGGACGTCTGGATCATCCCCGCGGGCACCGTCGAGCGCGGCGAGGGCCTCGCCGAGGCCGCGCTCCGCGAGGTCGCCGAGGAGGCCGGCGTCGTCTGCGGCGTCGACGCCGGCGGCGACCTCGGCACCTTCGACGACGACGACCGCCTCGTGCGCACGGCCGTCTACGTCATGCGCGTCACCGAGGACCTCGGCGCCTGGGAGAACATGGAGTTCGGCCGCAAGCGCCGGTGGTGGGCCCTCGACGCGGCCCTCAAGGCGCTCAAGGACCGCGACCGCCGGCCGCTGGAGAAGTACCTCGGCCGCGCCGCGCCGCCGCGCGGCGCCTGAAGCCGCGCCGGCGCCCCGACGCCGCGCGGACGGCACTGCCGCCCGCGCGCACCACGACCCACGACCACGACCAACCCCGACCCCTTTCGGTGTCCCCTCGTCGGAGACACGCCGCGCTCGCCGCGGCCCGATCATCCTAACAGTTCGCCGCGTCTCACGTCTTACCCGTCGGGCGGTTTCGGCTTCTTGCCGTAGTACTCCTCGTTGAGCTGCTTCGCGCCGTAGGTCGACAGCGGCAGCGAGGCCGCGGCGGCCATCGCGCCGCGGACGTTCGCGGCGTAGAGCGCCGCGTCGGCTTTTTCGTCGTCCGACGGCCGGTAGACGGGCAGCACCGTGACCTCCATGCGGACGTAGAGCGACAGCAGCTGGCGGAGCAGGTGCGCGGGCAGGCCGCCGCAGAACGACGCGGCGTCGAGGTAGCGGTGCGGGTAGGCGACGACGACGGGCTGGATCGGCGCGCCGGGGCCGAAGGCGCCCGTGAAGTAGGTCAGGAGCTGTTTCCCGTTGTGCGTCGTGCCCTCGGGCAGCAGGAAGCACGGCTGGCCGCCCGCGTAGGCGTTCGCGTGCGCGAGGATGGCCTCGCGCGCGCCGCCGCTCGGCTTCGCGCGCTCGCCGTCCGCGGGCGCGACCTGGCCCGGCGACGCGGGGGCGTCGTGCCGCTTCAGCTTGACGACGATGGCGTCGTTGCCCTTGGCCATGGACCGGACGAGCGGAATCTTCACGTACGGCGCCATGACCTGCGGTCCGCGCGGTTCCCCCCGGCGACGACCACCGCGCGGTTCCCCCCCGGACGCCGGCGACGACCACCGCGCGCGCCCAGAAGTAGTAGGCGGCGAAGAATCCCTCCAGCATGCCGCAGTGCGGCGCGAGCGCGACGATCGGCGCCGGGGTCTCGTAGTCCTCGGCGGTCCGGAGATCGACGACCCGCAGGCAGCCGGGCCAGACGCCGAACAGCGCCATGCCGCAGCGGATGACGAGCTGCAGGGGCGCGCCGGCGCGCCGCCGCGGCAGCAGGTCGCTGAGCACGACGCCGACGCAGCCCACCACCGCGAGGAGGACGATTTTCACGGGGACGAGCGCCGCGCAGATCGCGTAGAGGACCCAGGAGAGCGGGCGCAGCAGGAGCGGCAGCGGCTCCTCGTCGTACTCCAGCGGGTGCCGCTGCGGCTTCTCCATGGCCTCGGCGCAGCTGATCAGGGAGCCATTGCGTTACAGGCCACTTCACTTGAACGACACCATCGGCCGGGTCGCGATAAGCAGCGGACGCCGCCCCTCCAGACCGCGCAGCGGTAGTGCCCCAGCCGCCCCTCTCCCGCGACCTCTATGCAGACCAAGGGCAGTCTCGACGCGCACATCCACACCTTTTTTAACGCGCGAGCTCGCGGCGCGCTAGAGCTGCGTGGACGCAAAGTAGGCGATCGCGAGTAAGAAGAGCGCGCCCTTGGCCGCGAGGAGCTTCTGGTTCATCTCCTTCTCGGCCAGCTTCTCTTCTTCCGTCATGTCCGCGGTCTTCCTGCGCGGGGCGCGACGCGTCTCGAGGGCGAGCGCGCGCGTCTCGCGACGCGGCGTCGCGCTTCCGCGCGGCGTCCAACACGACCGCGGCGCGCTGCGGCGGCGGCGACGGCGCCAATGGCGACGGCGCCACCAGCGCGCTACTGCGAGTGGCCAGCGCGCGATGCGGCTGCGGCGCGAAGGCCGCGGCGCAGGTCAGCGTGGCAAGGACAAGCGCTTGCTTCATGGAGGACGCAGCTGCGGTCTGCAGCGGTCCGCAGCGATGTTCCGGTCCGCAGCGATGTTCCGGTGGTACGATCGATACAGGCGGTGCCCACGCAGGTCGAGACGTGCTGCGCGCGGCGCTCGGCGCGCAGGGTTGCACTTCAAGAGCAGAGCTCTCGCGCAAAATCCTTGTGGCAAAATCCCGCGGTTCCTCCCGGGGCCCTACGTTTAGGACGCGTCAAGGCAAAATCTGCGCCAACCCGGGACGCCGTCCGCGCCCGCCCGAGCCCTCGACGAAGGCGCCGTCGGCGTCGACGGCCGTCGCGCACCACGCGAGGCCGTTCGCGTCCGCGTAGTCGTACGTGCAGGCCTCGTAGGACGTCTTCGCGTGCAACGCACGCGCTCAATATTACGCTAGCACCACGCGCCTGATCCTCCTCTTGACGGCGAAACCCGAATAACCCATGCGGCGCACCATCGGCGTCTTGGTAAAAGAGGGCTCGGGCGCCTGGCCGCCGCCGGCGTCCGTCGCCGGCCGCGTCAACTTCTACCGCGGCGGCGACGCGGCGAGCTTGCAGGCGCAGACCGACACGCTGGACGCGCTCGTCTGGGTGCCCGGCGTCGCCGGCGCCGAGGCGACGAAGGCGTTCGAGGCGCTCGGGCCGAACTGGGTCCACTCCTTCAGCGCGGGCGTCGACGGCCTCGCGCCGTTCCTCGCGTCCGAGGCCCTCGCCGCGCGGCCGACGCCCCTGAGCAACGGCCGCGGCGCCTTCTCGAGCTCGCTGGCGGAGTACGTGCTCGCGGCCGCGCTCCACTTCAACAAACAACTGCCCCGGTGCGCGAGGAACCGCGACGCGAAGCGATGGGACGCCTTCACCATGGACGTCCTCGCGGGCAAGACCATGGGCTTCGTGGGCTGGGGCCACATCGCCAAGACGTCGGCGCGGCTGGCCGAGGCCTTCGGGATGAAGACGATCGCGTGCCGCCGCGACCCGGGCAAGGCGGACGCCGACGGCGAGCCCGCGCCGGGCGCGACCTTCGGCGTCGAGGACAAGCTGGAGGTCTTCAAGCGGTCGGACTTCGTCGTGTGCTCCCTGCCGGGCACGCAGGCGACGCGGGACTTCTGCGGCGGCCCGGAGTTCGCGGCGATGAAAAACACTGCCGTATTCATCAGCCTGGGCCGCGGCGCGGCCGTCGACGAGGGCGCGCTCGTCGACGCGCTGGCGACGGGCGCCATCGCGGGCGCCGCGCTGGACGTCTACAAGGTGGAGCCGCTGCCGGAGGCGTCGGCGCTCTGGGGCCTCGGCGACAAGGTCCTGCTGACGGCGCACAACGCGGACCTCACGGCGGACTACTTCGAGCTCGGCTGGGACGTCTTCGCCGCGAACCTCGACGCGTGGGAGGGCGGCGCCGACCTCGCGACGCCCTTCGACCCCGCGCTGGGCTATTAAAGCGCTTCAAGCGAGGGGCAAGGTGCCGTCGCAGGATCCAGCGCGGTCCGATATGAGGGCTGCCCTGCTGCTGGCCGCGGCGGCGGCGGACTTCGTCTTCGTCGACTTCAACGAGACGCAGGGCCTGCGCCTGAACGGCGCGGCGGCGACGTCGGCCTGCGAGGAGGTCGAGGCGCGCAGCCACGGCCCCCACGAGACGAACCTCGGCGAGGGCTCGTTGGACGAGGTCTACGGCGAGAACGACGACGTCATGAAGACCGTGACCGTGGACACGAACCCGCTGTCCAGCTTCCAGGACGACGCCCTGGCGAAGAAGGCCATCCTCGGCCACCGGGACCGCTACGCGGCCGGCGACCGGAGCTGCGCGGGCCGCGTGCGCCTCACGCCGTCGCGGCCCGACGCGCGCGGCTCCGTCTGGTACCACCTGCCGCGGCCCGTCCAGGGCGGCTTCGAGAGCTCGTTCACGTTCAAGGTCACGGACCACAGCCGCCACTGCACGCGGCACCGCGACCTCGACTTTAGCCTCGAGCTCTACGAGAAGTGCTACGTCCGCGGCGGCGACGGCCTCGCGTTCGTCGTGCACAAGGACCCCAACGGCACGGCGGCGCTCGGCGGCTTCGGGGGCGACCTGGGCTACGGCGGCATCGAGGCGTCGCTGGCCGTCGAGCTCGACATGGACTACAACCCGGACGTCGCCGGGGCCTTCGCGGGCGACGCGGCGCCCGTGGACCACGTCGAGGTGCGGTCCCGGGGCCGTTTGCCCAACGCCGCGTCGGGCGCGGAGGCGCTGCTCGCGCCCGTCGTCTTCCACGACCTCGCGGACGGCCTCGAGCACCTCGTCAAGGTGCGGTACCTGCCCTACGTCGACATGGCGTATTTCGCAAACTTCTCCGTCTACCCGGCCGCGGCGCCCTACATGGTTGACGGCGGCGAGCACCGGCGGCTCGGCCTGCTGCTCGTCTTCCTCGACGACGGCGTCGCGCTCGACTCGCCGTCCATGGCCATCCCGATGAACCTGCCGGAGATGCTCGGCCTCGACGGCGACGGCCTCGCGTACGTGGGGCTGACCGCGTCGACGGGCAAGCGGTGGCAGAAGCACGACGTCACGTCCTGGTACGTCTGCGACCGGCGCGTTTCGGCGTTTTTTTGATGTGGGCGTCGTTTCGTCATGTTGTTTTCTTCGCGTAGGCCCGACTGCGACGAGCCGTCGGACGACGCGACCCGCTTCGACTACCACACGGCGTCGAAGAGCTCGGGCTTCAACGTCGCGTTCAAGTACACGCCCGGGCGGGGCTACGGCGGCGACGTGCGGCCGGTGGGCGCGGGCCCCGCCGTCTCCCAGATGGGCCGCGTGCCCGCGCGGCACGCGTCGCCGGACAACGACGTCGTCGGCCCGGACGTCGCGCACCACGCGACGGGCCGCCACGAGGGCGTCCCGTCCTAGGCGTTGTTAGTACTTATGGTCCGGCGCGTACTCCGCGGCGGGGGGCATGGGGAAGTAGCGGTTGATGGGGAAGGGCGTGAGGTTGCCGTCGACGGCCGGTGGCCGGTCGACGTGGTCCCGCTCGTAGGCGAGGCGGTAGCGCCGCGCGCGCTCGACGTCCTCCCGCTCGACGTCGGCCGTCGACGGCCGCTCGCGGGGCGTCGGCGCCTTCTCGTAGGGCAGCGACTCGATCTCGTTGCCGTCCGCGTCGCGGATCGTGTGCGTGATCGGATTCCGCATGGCCTTGGCGATCAGCACGTTCTCCTCGTAGATGTCGCGCGTCGCGTCCCAGCTCTCGCGGAGCGTCGACAGGTCGTAGGGCAACGCGCCGCGCGGCGTCGGCCGGTGCTCGTCGAGCGCGGCCGTCGCGGGGCCCATGGTGCGGTACGGCGCGCGGAAGACCTGCTGCCGGTTTCGTTGGGCCAGGGCCCGCCCCCAGCGCATGGCCTCCTGGGCCGCCGCCGTGGACACGCGCTCCCTGACCGTCGTGAAGCGGTCGTCGACCTGGGGCAGGCCCAGGCGCGCCATGTGCTGGTCCAGCGCGTCCTCGGCCGTGCCGAAGGGGCAGGGGTGGGGGGCCTTGCGCGGCTTCTCGCGCCGGGGCACGTGCGTGTTCGCCGTCCCCGCGGGCGGCATGCGGCCCTTGTCCGTCGTCGGCGGGCGGCCCCGGTCGGCGGCGCGCATCTCGAACTGTTCGGCGTCGTCGTCGTCCGCCCGGGGCAGCGCGCTCTGTTTTGCGTATCTCATCACCATCGGCTTGTCGCATATTTGCCACTAGCAATCGAGGGCATGCCTTGCCCAAAGCTGCTTACTAAAGCCACTTTGCTACCCTAACGCCGCTTTACTCGATGGCCATGCTCGCGCTGATTGCGATCGCGGCGCGGTCGACGACGCGAGCCTTCGCGCCCTCGTCGCGCTGCCACCGCGGCGCCTGGCGGCTCGCGTCGACGCGCGGCGGCGCGCCGAGCGACGCGGCCCAGCGGCGCGAGTCGTGCCCCGTCGGCGCGGTCGTCGACGTCGTCGAGAAGGAGGCGCAACGGACGGGCGAACTGACACGCGGCGTCGTCGCGCGGCACCTGACGAACAAGCCCTTCCATCCGCGAGGCATCAAGGTGCTCCTCGCGCAGTCCGTCGTCGGCCGCGTCTTCGACGTCGTCGACGCGCCCGCCGTGACGCCGGAGCGCCGCGCGGAGCTCGCGAGGACGGCGAACCCGCACGACCGACAGCGGCGCGGCGGCCGCGGGCGACGACGAGGCGGCCGCGGCGGCCGGGGCCGCGGCGGCCGCGATCGCGGCGGCGAGGACCGCCCGGTGGCGAGCTTTGTGGGTTAAATTAAGGTCTCTCGTTAAAGTCGCCGCTCCGCCGCGGCGTCATCTCCGGTGCGCCTCGGCGAGCACCGCACGGAGCTGGTCCGGCGACGGCCGCTTCGGCGACGTTCCCAGGAACGCGAAGTGGTCCGCGTCGCGCGCGTACATGCGGAACGACGGGTTGGGCCAGCGGCGGTAGAGGGCGATGCCCGAGTCGTCGGCCCGCAGCTGGAGCGCGTCGGCCTCGGCCGCGTACGTGAGCTTGAAGTCGCTCATGAGCAGCGGCGCCATGGCGCGGCCCGGCGCGACGGGCGACGGCACCTTGAGGCGGCCGTTGAGGCACAGCAGACAGCAGCCCGCGTCCTGGAGGCGCGCGGCGACGACCTGGAGCTGCGTGACGGGGTTGAGGCTCGCGTGGCGCGGCCGCCGCGTCGCCGCGGCGACGGCGCCGCGCGGCGCCGCGGACGACGGCGCGACGGCGACGACGAGGGTGCCGCGCGGCGGCGGGTCGTTCCGGTCCGTCGCGGCCCGCGCCTCGTCGGCGAGGAGCCGCGCCTCGAGCCGGTCGTCGACGCGGCGCGCGATCGCGTGCGCCGCCAGTCGCGCCGCGTCCGTCCGCGTCGCCACGAGCGCGCGCACGCCGCCGTGGGGCCAGCGCGCCGCGAGCTCCAGGGCCGCGAGCAGGCTCAGGTCGCCCCGGCTCGACGACGGCGCGGCGGGGCCCTCGAGGACGTCCGCGACGACGTCGCCGCCGCCGCCCGCGTCGCCGTCGCCGCCGCCGCCGCCGCCGAGGAGGTGGCGCAGGTCCAGGGACCCGAGGCGCACCTCCTGGCGCTCGTAGCGCAGCTGGAAGGCCTCGCCGACCGTCGCCGACACCTCGTCGAGGAGCTTGGCGCCGCGGGGGTAGAGGGCCCACTCCACCGGCTCCATGGAGCCCGGCCCGAGCTTCGTTTGTTTCGGCTTTGGTGTCAGGGATGTTGTGTGTTTGGTGAGGACGCAGGCGACGATGAGCGGCAGGCGCCCGGCGAGCATGGGCGGCGGGCGCCCGCTGCGCCCGCAGCCCATAGTGTTGAACCTCGACTGAGAATTACCACAGCATGGAGAGTCGTGGGGAGGACTTTTTGAGCTATTGAAACCGCTGTCCGCAGCCATGCGCGCGTCTGCGACGTTCTGGCTCGGCGTTGCTTTGACGCAAGCGCTCCAACCCGCCAGCAAGCGGCGCGCGCACTTCATCAACCTCACGAACGGTATAGAAGCACTCGACAAGCTGCCGCCCGACCTACAAAACAACGTGAACTTTGTGAGAATACAGTCGAGCAAATGCGAGGCCAACGACTTCTACGGCATCCTGCAGGACGTGGACCACAACCTGCTCTTCCACCTGGCGACCGGCGCGGAGTGCGTCGTCTACGACTTTGGTTGTCGAGGCAGCCAGTGGCCCGGCGCGGAGGACCAGAAGGTGCCGCGCGCCATCTGGTGGGGCCTCGAGTGGATCCGCTACGCCCTGACGCGCGCCTGGAAGCTCCCCGACGGCGGCGCGCCGCCGACGCTCCGCGGCTACAACGTGCGGTCGCTCTTCGACGAGAAACTCGGGAGGCTCCCGAAGCCGCTCTACAAGAAGCTCAAGTACTACCGCAAGTTCGCGCCCGAAACCGTCGACCTCCGGGGCGCCTACGGCGTCGCCGGCACGCAATTCGACGGCAAGGACGACGTCTACGCGGGCATGGTGGACGCCTGGGCCGCGGAGCGCGCGGGCGCGGACGCCGGAAACGACCTGCCCGACGGGTTCCGCATCTACCGCGCCACCGACTACGCCGGCGTCGGCCGCGGCGCCTGCGCGAAGAAGGACGGCGGTTCGTAAAATCATGTCAACATGAGCTCCGGATTCGTGTTTCCCTGCAATTTCGGCCGGCGCCGTAGAGCATGATGGCTGGGTCGAACCTCGTGCGCGCGCTCCTCCTCGCGGCCGCCGCGGCGCAGCGGACGGGCACGAGCGGCGTGCCGCCGCACATCCTCGAGCGCGCGCAGCAGGCCTGGCGGCAGCAGCAGGGCGGCGGCGCGACGCCTCCGCCGCGGTTCGCCCCGCCCCAGGCCCTCTACAAGGACGGCGGCGCCACGTCCGACGGCGCGGAGCTCATCCCGCAGGTGACGCACTCCGGCGACGCGCGGGCGGCGCAGGCGCAGCGCGAGGCCGCCGCCGCGCAGCGGGCGCTCGCGGCGGCGCGCCGGGAGCTCGCGGCGATCGACGCGCGCGGCGCCGTCGCGCTCGCGGCGGCCGCGCCGCCGCGGAACGCGAGCGGGACCTACAAGAAGCCCGCCGGCGCCGCGGTGAGCGTGTCGGCCATGCTCGCCGCGGCGTCGCGGTGGGCCTACGAGCGCTGCGCGGCGACGGACCCGGAGCGCGTCCGGGATTCGCTGGGCATGAAGGGCGTGAAGCACTTCACGGAGTGGCTCGACCTGCAGCGCCTCGCCGTGGCGCGCGGCGACGCGCGCACGGCGACGGCGGCCCTCGAGCGCGTCCGCGAGGTCGTCCCGAGGGCGCTCGGCTCCGCGGGGTACCACGCGTGGACGTCGTTCCCGCGCGACTCGTGGCGCTTCCGCCAGGACAGCATGTCCTACATGCGCGCCCACTACCTGTGCGCCCACACGGAGCTCGGGTTCCAGCGGTCCGAGCCGGCGCTCATGGTCCGGTGGCGGCGGACGATCGAGAAGCACGTCGCGGAGGTCTGGCGGCATCTCGAGACGCGCGGCATCGACCAGCGGCTCAACTTCGTCAAGCTCTTCCGGGCGCTGGGGCTCTACGTCGAGGGCCAGTACAACGCCGAGGGCCGCGACGACAGGACCGGCGACGGCCTCGCGTCGCGCGGTGACGCGTCCTTCGACGCGCTGCCGTCCGCGCTCGAGCTCAACGGCTTCGAAGCCGCGACGTTCGAGACGACGTTGATCCACCGCCGGGAGCCCCTGGGCTGGTACATGCTCAGCCGCGACCGGCCCTACGACATCACGCACGAGATCTTCGCGCTGACGGACGACGGCCGCTTCCCCTTCCCCTTCCTCGCGCCCGCGGACGTCGCCTACGGACGCGACGCGACCGGCGGCCTCGCGAAGCGCGCCGCGCCGGACGAGCCGCGGGCCGCGCGCTACTTCGCCTACGCGCTCCAGACGGTCGTGGACCTGCTGAAGCTCCACGTCAAACGCGACGAGCTCGACATCGTCTGCGAGTACGTCGTCAACCTCGGCCAGCTGGGGGTCCGCGCGCGGCGCGGCGACGACGGCTCCGTCGACTTCGCGCTCGGCGAGCTCTACCTCCAGGGCCGCGACTACGTCGCGTCGCGGCGCAACGCCGACGGCACCTTCGGCGACACCTACGACCAGGACGCGGTCCGGTCGGCCAAGCAGAACCGGAACTACGACGTCGACGTCGGCGGCACGCTCCACACGACCTACGTCTGCCTCTGGGCGCTGACGCAGCCCGTCTACGACGACGACGACGCCCAGAGCTCCTGGGCCGGCGCCCACACGACGGACGCGGAGCACGTCGCCCTCGCCGAGGCGTCCGGCGCCGAGCCGACGCTGCCGCCGCCCCCGCCGCCGCGGCCCGAGCTGTAAGAGGAAGGACCCCCGGCGTGTGCACATGCAGTGCACCTTCCGTCGGTGCCGTTTCAAAGGGGCTGCCCGCCCGCGCCGCGATGGACGCCATGCGCCCGCTCTTCGAGAGCATCCAGGAGCCGCTGCTCCGCGACCTGTTCGTCGAGCTCTCGGAGCCGGCGCTCAACGCGAAGCTCGAGCAGTTCCTGGACCGCGCGTCCTTCTTCTTCGACCCCAAGTTGAAGCTCTACGAGTCGCAGACCGAGGAGCACGACCTCGAGTACACGAAGTTCCACCACGACTACCAGGATCTCCTGGAGCGGGTCGTCGACGACTTCTGCGACCGGAAGCGCACGACGCCGGCGGCGCTCTTCGCGCTCTGCGAGGACGCGGCGAGCGGCCGCGACCCGGTCGCCGACGCGATGCTCGACGTCTTCGTCGCGTCCTGCGACTACAAGCGCGGCGCGCGGCGTCGTTCTCTTGAAACGCGCCCGACGCGCCCCCGTCGTCGCAGGTGCTTCGTGTCCATGTGCGTCGAGCGGGCGAAGCACAACGTCGCCGCGCGGCCCGACGTCTCGCCCGAGTCCAAAGACGAGGGCAAGCGCGACGACGCGCGCGGGGCGAAGGACGCCAAGTAAACGTGGGTTCTACACGCCAGGCCCCAGGGCGTCCCGCACGTCGCGGCGCACCCTCGGAGACATCTCGTTGATGTGCACTTGCTGTGATCGTGCTGTCGAAGTTGCTGTCGGCTTCAATCGCGGCGAGTCTGGGCTGCCTCGCAAGAGCTGCTCGATGGGCTGCCTCGCAGCGCAGCTCCTCGTCGCCTCGCTCGTCGTCGTCGAGGCGAGGGCAGCGTCGTTCGTCCAGCTGCTGGCCTGCTCCGACGCCAACTGCACGGCGAATTGCTCCATCCTCACGAGCCACGAGCTCGGTCGGTGCGAGCTCGGCAGCCCCACGTCGGCGCGGCAGGGCGTCAAGGCCGAGTTCGACGGCGCCACGGGCGAGCTCGTCTTCGACTACTGGGACTCGGACGCGGCCTGCGGCGGCCGCGCGAACGCGCAGAGCGGCTTCCTCGAGCCGTTCGCGTGCCAGTCCGCGGCGCCGGGCGTCTGGAGCGCGTACCGCCTCGCCGCGGCCGGCGCCTGCGCGCCCGACTGCGACGACTGCGACGCCCTCTGGTCCCTGAAGATGTGCAGCTGGGTGCCGACGACGACGCCGGCGACGGACTTCGCGTACGCGGTTCAAGGTTGCGTCGCCTGCGCCGCCGGGCTCCGCGACTTCGCCGGCTGCGGCTGCGCGGGCTGCTGGCCGGCGGCGCGGGGCGCCGCCGGCGCGACGGCGCTCGCCGACGCGTGCGCGAAATCCGCGTGCGACGCGGCGCTCGAGGTGCCCTGCATGGACTGCGGCGAGGTCGCGCCGTCGCCGGCGGCCTGCGAGGCCTGCGTCGTCTCCGAGGCGACGGCACCGAACCTCGCGGGCCTCTGCAACTTCACGCTCGAAGCGGGCGGCGCCTGCGACGCGCGCGCCTGCGGGAGCTAAGTTGTGAGCCAAGTTACGACGCGCGGCTCACTCGTCGTCGTCGGAGTAGTGGTACTTGATGGAGTTGGAGCCCATGTCGACGGTGCCGCCTGCGGGAGCTAAGGTTCGAGCCAAGTTACGACGCGCGGCTCACTCGTCGTCGTCGGAGTAGTGGTACTTGATGGAGTTGGAGCCCATGTCGACGGTGCCGCCGCGGTAGCCGCCGCGCTTCTTCTTCGTCTTCTCGTGGCGGAAGTCCTTGCCGCGGACCTGGACGAGCTTCTGGCTCGCCTTGGCGCCCCAGCCGCCGTCGCCGTACGTGCCCTCGTAGGAGTTGTCCTTGAGGCGGTCGTCCTTGATGGCGCCCATCCACTTCTCGTTGTCGATGCGCTCGAAGGGCGTGCCGGGGCTCCGCGCGCTGCCGGGCGTCTTCGGCGACTTCACCTTCGGCGTCGCCTCGTTCTTCGCGAGCCACGCGGCCATGGCGTCGGCGGCGTCGTCGCGCTTCGCCTTCTCCGCGGACCGGCGCGCGGCGTCCTGGCGCTCGTCCTCGGACGCGCTCCGCTTGCGCTTCTTCGCCTTCTTCTTCTTCTTCTCGGGCACGACCTCGGGCTCCTCGGGCTCCTCCGCGGCGGCCGCGCGCGCGCCGGCGCTGCCCTTCTTCTTCGCCTTCTTCGGCGGCGCGGCCGCGGCGGCGGCGGCCTCGGCGGCGGCGGCCTTCTTCGCGGCCTTCTTCTGCTTCTTGAGGTGCAGCGCGGCGGCGTCGAGGAGCGGCACGACGGCGCCGTCGCCGTCGACGGCCGCCTCCTTCTTCAGCGCCTTCGCGCTTTTCGCGAGCTGGCAGGCGCCGAGGAACGCGTGCACGCTCCGCGGCAGGTCGTCGGCGGACGCCTCCGGGTGCTTCTTCGCCCAGGTCTTGCACGCGACGGCGAGCTCGACGAGGACGTCGCCGCCGGCCTCGTCGAGGAGCGCCTCCTTCTTCAGGGCCTTGGCCGCCTTGGGGTAGGACGCGGCGACGAGGTAGGCGTGCACGCTGTGCACGAGCTGCGAGGGCTTGACCGACGCCATCTCGACGACGCGAGTGATCGCCAGTTTTTAGAGCTGCATGGACTCATCGATGTTGACGTTTTTTACAGCTCCGGGCAGCCGATGGACGACGTCGCGCCGGCGCTCGCCGTGGCGTCGAGCGATGGCGTGTCGAACCCGAAGCTCAAGGAGACGCTCGAGGTCATGCGGCGGCTGCGGGCGAAGAAGGCGCCGACGGCGCCCTACGAGATCAACGCCGAGAGCCTGTACCGCCAGGCCGAGGCCATCTTCGCCATGCGCGAGAAGCTGGCCGCCAAGGACTGGGACGCCGCCGGCGAGGCCGTCGAGTTCGCCCTGGACCTGCTGGGCCCGGAGGAGGAGGCGCCGGCGACGGACCCGACGGCCTTCGAGGCGCGGACGAAGGTCTCGAAGACGGAGCACGAGACGCGAAACATCCTCCGGCGCGAGTGCGTCGCGGTGCGCGCGGCGCTGGACCGGCGGACCATCGGCCTCGTCATGGAGCGCGCCCTGAGCCACGGCCGCCTGAGCGGCTACGTCGGCGCCGTCGAGGTCGGCGACATCAGCGACGGCCAGCTCGAGAAGGCCTGCGCGACGTGCGAGCGCCTCGCGAGGCGGTCCGACCTCGCCGCCGACGCGACGATCGACGTCTACCTGCGCAGCGGCCGCACGCTGCTGGCGCTGCGCCGCGCCCTGCGGGGCAACCGCTGGCTCGACCCGGAGCCCGACGACGAGGCCGCCGCGGAGGAGACGCGACCGCGCCAGCGCACGCAGAGCATGCAGGCCGTGCAGGAGCAGGTCGAGGCGACGGCCCGGGCGGCGAGCGCCGACGAGGGCAGCTCGGCGATGATGGAGGTCTTCGCGACGAAGTTCACGGACGTCAAGGACCTCGTGCCCGAGGACGTGCGCCGGAGCATCGACGACGGCACGGCGTCCGCGGAGGCCGTGCTCCGGCGCGCGGAGGCGCGGCCCGGCGGGTTGACCTACGACCACGACGAGACCGACTCCAGGTTCCCCCACCCCCTGTGCCGCGGCGAGATGCGCCTCGCGCGGGACGACGTCGAGGACCGGAAGCGGCGCCGGGGCCTGCGGAAGGCGCTCCAGCCGCCCGCGTGCGTCGTCGAGTGGCGCGAGCCCGCGCCGGAGCACCGGAGGAAGCGCGTCGCGCTCGTCGGGTGCCTCGACGACGAGGCGTCGAAGGCGCAGCTGCTGCGGCTCGACCTGACCTGCGAGGCCGAGCCCGTCGGCGCGCGGCTCACGCGCGAAGCCGCCGCTCTGCTCGCGACGGCGCACCGCGTGGCCGCGATCCGCGCGGAGCTCGCGCGGCGCGACTGGGAGGTGTTCCTGCGGCTCGTCAAGACCTTCGAGACGGACGTGGAGGCGCGCGCGCTGGAGCTGCGCTTCGGCGCCGAGGACGGCATGCACCTGGCCATCCGCGACGCGACGGCGCTCGTCGCGGACGAGATCGCCTTCTACCGGGCCGCGGTCGTCGAGCGGGACCAGGCCAAGGCGCGGCTGCTCAAGGCCTTCGACGCGTCGCCCGTGCGCGGCGACGCGACGGGTCTACGGCTCGGCGACGCGGACGACGTGCGGGCGCTCGCGCCCGACGCGCAGAAACAGCTCGTCGACGACCTGCGGGACGCGGCGCAGGGCGCGGAGCTCGTCTACGTGCTGGGTCCGGACAAGGACGCGGAGAAGGACGCGGAGGCCCTCGACGCGCTGCGGAACCTGCGGCGCGCGAAGCGCGCGCTCCAGCGGCGCCACCTGGCGAACCTCAAGGACGCGCGGCGCGCCAAGGCGGAGCTCGACGCCTGCGCCGCCCGGCAGCGCGAGGACGGGGACGCGTGGCCCGAGGACGCGCGCGAGCTCGACCTCGTCCTCCAGTGGGCGACGTTCATGCTCGCGTCGCGCGAGCTCGCGGAGGCGCTCGCGGCGTGGCCCGCGCGGCGCGTCGCGCGCGCGGACGGCGACGGCGACGCCGAGGACGAGCTGCTCTTCACGCGGCCCGACTTCCTGGAGGGCCTCGACCCGCGCTACCCGACGGTCGCGCCCGTGGACGTCTTTTTGGACGCGGACCACGACGACTTCGTCGGCGGCCTAACGGACGACGGCGACGAGGCCGACAGGGCCGACGCCGTCAAGGCGGCCGTGGGCGACGCCGTCGACGCGCTCGCCGCGGCGGAGGGCGCCGCGGCCTTCTGGAGCGTGAAGCGGCTCCGCGCGGCGCTCGGCGACGCGCGGGCGGTGCTCGACGCCGTCGACGGCGCCGCGCGCGACGTCATGGCGCGGCGCGTCGACGTCGCGGCGGCCATGCTCCTGCTTCGCGAGGCCGTGGCCGGCGGCCACTGGGACGGCCTGGCGTTGGCGCAGGGCGACGCGTTCCTCGACGTCGCCGCCGACGACTTCGACCCGCTCTTCGCGGCGCTCGCGGCGCCGCTGCGGAAGCGCACCTTCCGCCAGCGGGCGAAGAAGCGGGCGTCGGGCCTCGGCTTCCTCGCGCGCGGCGAGGCGGCGCGCCGCGGGCGCGCGAGCACAACGCAGAGCGTCCTCTGCGACCTCGACGCGCGGACGGCGCGCGCCGGGGAGCGCGGCGGCAAAGCGGGCGAGGGCGTCCTCGTGGCGACGGTCGTGCGCCGCGCGACCATGGTCGCGAGGGGCGCGCGGGGCTCCGGCGTGCCGGACCTGCCCGCGGCGATGCGCGTCGCCGCGGACGCCGTCCGCGACGCCGCGGCCGTCGACGCGTCGACGACGGAGACGGAGGCCGAGGACGAGGTGCCCGCGGACGGCCCCGCCGTGACCTTCGGCACGCAGACGCTGAACCTCGACGCGCCGCCGGCGAAGCGCGTCATCCGCTTCGCGCCCGAGGCCGGCGCCGCGGAGGACGGCGGCGGCGGCGAAACCGAGCCGGAAAAGTCCGTGGCCCGGGCGCTCAACGCCATCGGCTCGGGCACGGCCTACGTGCGCCACAGCCCGCGGGCCGTCGCGGAGCTGACCTGCGTGCGCTACGAGACGCTCGTGCGCGAGTGCGGCGCGCGGCTCGATTTGGCGGGCCATCTCGGCGCGGACCTCGCGACGGAGTGTCTCGCCGCGGACAAGGATCCGAAGCGGGCCCTGGGCCGCGACTGCGACGACGTGCTGGCGGCGCTCGACGCCATGGCCAAGGCCTACTGCCAGCCGAGCCGCGTCGACGACCACCGGCACGACGCCGGCGTCGCGTTAAGGGACGCGAAGACCCTGTTGGACGCGCTGGAGCTGCTCTACGAGGGCCACGGGTCCCTCCCCGGGTCCTACAAGGCCCTCCAGCGCCGCGCGTCCGTCGGCGCGCTCGTGTTGAGCTGCCGCCACGCGCTCCGCGACGAGCGGTGGCACGCGATCGACGCGGCGGTCAAGCTCGTCCTCGAGGCCGTGGGCGACACGCACACGTGCCTCCAGGGCGCGCGGGAGCCCGACGGCCGCTTCCGCGTGGCGCCGCGCGCCCACGACGACGTCGACGTCTACGGGCCCGAGGGCCGCGCGCGCGACGCCGCGCGGAAGGAGGCCGCGGCCATCGACCGCTTCGCGCGGACGCGCGAGGCCTGCCGGCTCCTGCTGGAGGCATTGGACGCCGCGGCGGCGTCGGAGACCGACGAGGCCGCCCAGGCGTTAGCGCTCCTCGGGTCCGCGCTCGCGGCCGCGCGGCGCCTCTGCGGCGCGCGGCCGCCCATGGTCGTCGCGCAGTTGTCCGCCGCGGCGCAGCAGGCGACGACGCTGCGCCGCGCGGCCATGGGCCACTTCGCCGCGGACACGGAGTCGACGCGCCAGACGGGGCTCACGGGCATCGCGGGCCGCTGGCCCCGGCAGGCGCGGTCGGCGGTGGAGAAGACGATGGGCGCGGCGCAGGGCAGCACAAGAGAGCGAAATTCCCAACTTCAAAGGCTCCGATCTCGGCCATTTTCCACTCATTTCGGCTGATTTTTGGACGAGCGATCATCTCTCGGAACGGTCTCGAAGCGTGGATGTCTTTTTCGTAACGCGCGCGCGCGGAACACTCACGTTGAAGCGACGTTGAATCACTCTTGTGCTGCCCAGGCGCGGCGACGCTCGCCGAGGCGGAGCGGAAGCTCCTCGACGCGCCCCACGACTTCGACGTGGCGCAGTACGACGCGCTGCTGACGCTCAAGGCGCCGGGGGCGCTCGACGCCTGGCGGCGCCAGGAGCCCGACCGCGCCGCGCGCGCGGACGCGCTTCTGGAGCAGCACGACCGCTACCTCCGGACGACAGACCTCGCGCGCGTCCGCAAGTGGGCCGCGGTCGCGGAGGCCCTGCCGGCGCCCGCGCCCCACCGGCACGCGCCGGCGCCCGCGGCGCCGCGGGCGCCCCACCCCCACCAGAACCGCCTCGAGGCGATTTTGGCGGGGCCGCGGCGCTTCGTCGCGTCGACGCCGCTCGACTTCAGCGACGACGTCACGGACTACGCGGGCTTCGACGACCTCTTCCCGCCCGGCGACGACGAGTGTGTGCCGCCCGCGCCGCCCCGCGCGGCGGCGCCGCCGCCGCCGGGCGACGACGGCGTCCTGCGGAGCAAGATGAAGCCGACGCGCGACGAGCTCGACGCGCGGCGCCGGGCGCTGCGCTGCCGCACGGCGCTGCGCGAGGCGTTGGACGCGGGGACGGCGAGCAGCTGGCGCGCCGTCGCGCGGGGCGTCGACGAGTTCGACCGCGGCCCGGCGCCGCGCGACGGCAACGTCGCGGGCGCCGCGGCCGTCGCGGCCGTCGGCCGCGCCGCCCGCGTGACGCTCCTGCGCGACGACGTGGACCCCGTCGTCCTGCGGGGGTCGCCGGCGCGCAAGCCGCGGCTCGGCGCGGCCTACTTTGCGGGGCGGCCCGCGGGCCGCGTCCGCGTGCCGCCGGCGGTGCTCGAGCCCCTGCGCAAGGCGGCGAAGCTCGACGCGCCCGACACGCTCGACGACCTCGACGTGGACTGGTTCCACCTCGGCCAGCTCTTCGTCGCGACGGCGCGCGACGCGGACCGCCGCGCGGACGCGGCCGAGCGCCTCGCGGCGCTGCGAGGCGTCGTCGACATGATCGACCGCAAGGGCTTTCCGTCGCGGGCGAACGCGCTCCGAAACGCCGCGAAGCACTTCCTTGGCATCGACTCGGAGTCCGAGGCGTCCTCCGACGACGACGCACCCATCCACGCGCTTCCGAAGAAGCGCGCGCCCCGGGCGCCGGACCACCGGCCGGCCTGGCGCCCGGCGGCGAGCCACGCGGGCCACCACGTCGGCGACCAGACCCACGCGCACACCGTGCCCGCGTCCGAGTTTTAACATGTTGATCGCGCTAGTGGAGGGGGTGCGCTGCCAGGGATCTTGAGAACCAACTCGTGATGTTGAGTTCAACTTGACACTCTGAACCAGAGCGGCATGCGATGGCTCCTGCGCTGTGCGATTGACGCTGACGAGCAGTAGGCGCGTCTCCAGCTGACCATGCGGTGCCGCTTTCTCACCTTGCTCGTCGCGCCGGCGGCGTCGCTGCAGCCGGCGGCGTCGCTGCGCCGCGCCTGGCGGCAGGTCTGGCGCGTCGACGGCCCGCGGAAGCGGGGCGTCGTCACGACGACCTACGAGCGTAAAAATCCTTAGTAGTGGCCCCGGTGGCCGAGGAGGATGCCGCCCGCGCGGTTCTGGGGCGACGCGTGGGCGCCCGGGAGGTCGATGGTCGACGACGTGTGCTGCTTCTCCTTGCGGCCCGTCTGGATGCCGAGGCCGCGGAGGAGCGCGGCGCGGTTCTGGAGGCGCCACGCCTCGGAGCCCGGCTCGACGCGCTGGCTCTTCTTCTTCGCGGGCGTCGTCGCCGCGCGCGCGGGCGCGCCGGAGCCCTGGCCCGCGCCGCCGAGCGTCGGGCGCACGGCCTTGGCGCCGAAGATGAGCTTCGCGCGGCCGGGGTCGCGCTCGGGCGCGTCGCGGCCCCGCGCGCCGTCGACGGCGCCGAGCCTCCGCCGGCCCGAGCCGTCGTCGAGGCGGTGCGCGGGCGTCGGCGTCTTCGCGGACGCGGAGCTCCCGTGGGAGCCGTGGGACCGCGGGCTCTCGGACGGCGGCTCGCGCCGCGGCGGCGCGTCCGCGGGCAACGGCCGCTCCTTGAGCGCGCGCGACGCGGCGCGCGCCGCGCGGTTCGTCCGCGACCCCGGCGTCTCCGGCGCGGCGTAGGGCGACTTGGGCGGCCGCGCGTTGCCGTGCGCGTCCTGGAGGCCGTACCACTTCGTGACCTCGCGGATGACGGCCTTTTTGGAGGTTCGCCGGCCCGCGGCGGCCTCGCGGTCGAGGATCGTCTTGGCGACGCTGAAGCGCTTCTCTTTGGCGAGCTCCGCGGCGACGCGCTTCTCCTCGCGCCGCTTCGCCGCGGCCTCGCGCTTCACCGTGTGCGACGTCTTCCACTCGCGCCCGGGCTCGAGGCCGCCCGCGAGCCACGTCGCTTTCAGAGCGCCGTCGGGCACGCGGCCGCCGGACGGCGGCCGGCCGACGACGGCCTCGGACCAGGACTCGTCCGTCGGCGTCGCCGCGAGCCAGCCCCGCGCGTGCGCCACGCGCGCGTCGCGGACCTGCGGCGTGGAGCCGCGGTCCTCGGCGCCGTCCGCGGCGGGCCTTCGCTCGGCGATCTCCTCGCGGCTCCGCTGCGGCGACGTGCAGCCGAGGCACCACTCGCGGCTCCGCGGCGCGCCGAGCTGCGCGCTCGACGGCGCGCTCCCGAGCGTCGCCGACGGCGCGGCGCCGACGTCGACGACGAGGCCCGGCGCGTCCTCCTCCTCCGCCCCGCCCTTGGCCTCCTCGACGGCGCCCGCCGGCCGCGGCGGCGACGTCGGCGGGCAGGGCACCTCGTCGACCACCGCCTGGCGCTGCGTGCGCATCAGGCGCCGCAGGGGCGGCAGGCCGCCGCCCTCCTCGGACTCGAAGGCCAGGCGGATGAAGAGCTCCTTCGTCGACGCCGGCAGCGTGGCCCAGATCTCCTCGCTCTCGTCCGACGACACGAGCTTCTTGTAGTGCGCGAGGCCGCGCGCGTCGAGCGCCGCGTCGTCCAGGTCCTCCGGAGTTGTCATTTGGCTACACGCCGCGGCGGTGTGTGCTCGGCCTAAACGCCGCGGCCCCCCATTGCTTAGCGCGCTAGCAAATGTTGCACTTTTCGTCGGCTCGCTCGCGCCTCGCCTTAGAGCCGCGCGTAGGCGAAGTCCTCGCCGAGGTGGCACGCCTTCCGCGCGACGAGCGCGAAGCCGCCCTCGCCCCACGTGGCGCCCCAGGCCTCCTTCACGACCCAGTGGTCGTCGGCGACGCCGACGACGGAGACGACGTGGTTCGTCGCGTTGCCGCCGCAGTTCGTGATGATGCCGGACGTGTAGCGCGGCCACGCGTCGCCGACGGCCATGGACGCCGTCACCGGCGAATGCTGCGCGACGGCCTCGGCCATGGCCGCGTCGGAGTCGCCCGCGACGACGCCCGCGATCTTCTTCGCCGCCTTCGCCGCCGAGTACGCGCACTTTTCCGGGCGAGCGGCGGCGGGGTACGCGGCCTCCTCCTCGAGGCCGGCGCTCAGGACGTACGCGAGGGCGGACGACGTATTGAATTGCAGATGCGGCGCGCAGTCGACGATCTGCTCGACGCTGTAGCGCGTCGTCTCCGTCGACTGGCACTGGATGCTGTCGACGGCCGCAGCGGCGATGCCCACGTCGCGGCCCGTCGCGCCCTCGTCCACGACGCCGCTGAGGCAGGCGGCGTCGCGCCAGTCCTTTGCGGCGTCCACGGCTGCCACGACGAGCAAGAGCGAGCGCATCGCGATCGTGTCGGGCTGCAGTAGCTGCCCCAAGATCCAACGGAATATGAAACGCTCGCCAACGGAATTGCCACGCTGCGATCCTGTTATGGAGCAGGGCGAGCTCTACAACACGTCGGGCGAGCGCACGCCCGTCAAGTCGCTGCGCGCGCGCTTCGAATCCGACGCCGCCGCCGGGCCGGCGCTGAAGCGCGACGCCGAGACGGCGCCGGAGACGACGCGGGCGCTGCGCGTGAGCTATGATAACAACAACGTGCGCGTCGAGGTCGGCCGCGGCGCCCTCTACACGGTGGCCGTCTGGGCGCTGCTCGTCACGGCCTGCGTCGCCTACCTCGTCGCGCTCAAGGCGAAGCACTTCCAGAAGGTGCAGGAGCGCCTCGACGCGCAACACCAGCAATCGTTCGAGACCCTCGAGGCCATCGCCATAAAAAACGCGGAGCTCGCGTCGAAGAAGATCCGCAAGATGCCCATCCTGAGCACGCTCTACGTCTTCGGGGCCCACTACGTGGCGTGCGCCCGCGGCGTCCCGCGGAGGCGCGCGAGAGATCCCGACGGGGCGCCGCCGCGCCGCCGCGGGCGCTCGGAACCCGACGGCGTCGTAGGCCCTACGCGCTCCAGGGCTTCGCGCTCCTGCGGCCCTACGTGATGACGCTCTTCCAGGTCGTCATCCCGGTGCTCCGGCGCCTCTCGCCGACGTGGATCTTCCTCCAGTGGGGCGCGGCGCGCGGCGTCCGCGACGCCTCCTTCCGCCGGCGCGCCCGCGCCGTCGCGTCCTCGTCGTCACCCGAACCCCCGCAGGCATGCACGCGCGCGAGATCCGGACGCACACAAAGGCCGTCGCGCGGCTCAACGCGTTCGGCACCGACGTGCTCCGCAACACGAACGTCGCCGCCCAGCGCGCGGGCAAGGCCTTCGGCGCCTTCGGCCTGCGCTTCGGGAGAGGCGGCGCGCTGCCTCCCGCGCCCAAGGTCGCGGTCTCGGGGAGGTGAGGCGCGTTTTTACTTACTAGTTCTTTTTCAAGTTAATGACCGCCCGCTAGGCCCACGACCGGCCCGTGTAGCCCGCGGCGTAGAGCGAGACTCGCGTGGCGTTCGGGAGGCGGTGCCGCGCGGTGACGACCGTCGGCGCCCGCGGAGGCGGCGCCCCCGCGAAGGGCTCGAACCCGAGTCGAGATTCAGTAATTTCAACACACGCGTCTCGACGGCAACTTGAGAACACTAACCCTCGCTTTTGTTCGGCTGCTGGGGATCAGTGCGCCCGCCCCGACGCCCGCGCCCGCGCCCGGGCACACCGACGAAAAAATCCTCGGGGGCCTTTAGCCGAGTGTTTAGTACACTCCCACCGACGCGCGGGGGCCGCTGCGCCAAAAAAAAGCGGCCCCGGACGACGATCTACGGCCGAAAACGAGGTCCACGGTTTTAAACGCCCCGACCGCAAAAGAGCCGCGGGGCGCGCGATTGTCCGCGCGCCCCGCTGACGAGACGATGGCATCGAAGCGGCGACCCGCCCCGGCCTCGTTCCTCATCAAGTTACGCGAGCTGCGCGTCCCCGCGCCGACGAACGCGTCCGGGGTCGCCGCGCGCGTCGCCCGACCCGCCGGGCGCCCGGGGGCGCTCGCGCCCCGGGCGGCCCCGGGCCCCCGACGCCTCCCGCATCGACGCGGCCTCGTTCCCGGTCGCGCCCCGCCCCGCCCCGCGCCGCCCGGCCGCGAACCGCCCGAGCACACGCCGCGCGCGCGCCGCGCGCGCCCGGCGCGCGCCCCGCGGGGAAAAAAACTCGAAACGCCACAGGCTGCTCGCCGAGGACCCGCAGATCATCTCCTGGGACTCGCTGGGCCGCATCACGATCAGCGACCCCGGGAAGCTGAGCGCGGAGGTGCTCATCAACTACTTCCGGCACAACAACTTCAGCAGCTTCCAGCGCCAATTGAACTACTTCGGGTACTACAAGATCTCGGGCAAGGGCAAGCTCGAGCGCTGCGTCTACACGAACAACGCGTTGCGCCACGAGGGCGACGGCACGCCCGGCGTCGAGGCGCCGCCGTACGAGATCGACGCGCTGCTGCGGCTCAAGCGCAAGTCGTCGCGCGAGGGCGCGGCCCCGGCCGCGGAGGCGAGCGCGAGCGCCGCCAAGGCGCGGCCCGCGGCGACGAGCCGGTCCGGCCGCACGCTCGAGCGCCGCGCGCCCGCCGCGGGCCGCTACGGCGACGAGTCGCCGCCGCGGGCCCGCGGCGCGAAGCGGCCGCGCGGCGCGCCCGACGGCGGCGGCGCGCCGCCGCCCGCGCCCCGGGGCTTCGGCGGCCTCCGGGGCCCGCCGCCCCTGGCGCCGGCCTACCGGAGCGACACGCCGGACTGGGGCGCGTCCGACGCGGCGCTCGACGATTTGCTCGACGCGGGCGGCGGCGGCCGCGGCTTCGGCGCCGTCGGCGAGGAGAAGTGGGACGCGACGCTCCAGCGGCGCCTGCCGTCGCCGGGCTGGCTCGCGCCGTCGCCGGGCGGCGACGACGGCGGCGAAATGCGCGCGCGCGACGCCGACGGCCTGATGCTCCGGCGCCACCCGCCGCCGCCGGGCGGCGTCGACTTCGCCATCGGCCCGCCGCCGGGCCTGCGCCGGGGCCTGAGCCTCGGCTACGGCGACTTCCTGGGCCACGCGCCGGCGCGGCCCGAGGTCGTCGCGCGGCCGCCGCGGCCGCCGAGCCCGCCGCGGCCGCTCGGCGGCGCGCCGCCGCCGCTACCGTTCCCGGGCCGCGGCGCGTCGAACGCGTCGAGCCAGTCCTACGACGACTTCCTCGCCGGCGCCGCCGTCGTCTCGCGGGCCTTCGCGCCGGACACGCCGGAGCTCGGCGGCCGGCCCGCGCCCGCGCCCGCGCCCCACCGAACCGCGGACGTCGGCGGCCTCGACGGCGGCGACTCGCGCGAGGCCTGGGCCGAGCACCCCATCGCCCAGTCCCGCGCCGACCTCTGGATCGGCCCCTACCCCGCGGCGCCGGAGCCCTTCTGAGCGCCACCGGTCACGCGCGACCCCTGTCCACACAAGCACCGCGAGCGCCCGCGCCGCCCGCCCACCTCCCTGTACCTGCATGTCCCGTCCGTCCTTCGCCGCGCGAACAACCCTGTCCCATACCCGCGCACCGCCCCCGCCCCTCTTTTGTATATGTCTACCGGCGACCGCGCGCTAGAACCGTGCGGGGCGTTCGCACCGGGCCGATCACCGGCGAGCGCCAAGACCGGCGGCGAGATGCAGCGCGGCCGAGTGGCGCTTAAAAAACGACCCCCCACTAGTCGCGCTTCTTGTCCGCGGGGGCGGCGTCGGCGACCTTGGCGAGGTTCGACCGGCGGACCGCGAGGGACTGGCCGTCCGGTAGGGCGACCTTGACGCGGTGGGCCGCGCCCTCGCCGAGCTCGCCGACGACGCGGCCCTTCTTGCCGTTGAAGCGGCGCTGGGCGCCGAGGCCGTCGATGCGCACCGCGTCGCCGCGCGCGAGGACCGCGCCGTCCCACGGCGGCCCGAGCGCCGCGACGGGCGGCAGCGACGCGACGGCGCGGCGCAGCTCCTCGCCCGCCGCCGCCGCGTAGGCCGACACGGCGAGCCGCGCGGCGGCCGCGTCGCGCTCGCGGACGTCGCGCTCGAGCTCCCAGTAGGCGTCGACGTACGTCCGCGCGTCCGCGTGCAGCTTCGCGGCCGCGGGCCCCGCGACGGCCGCGAGCTCGCGCACGGGCCGCGGCGCCTCGACGAGCGCGCCGCCGTGGACGCAGCAGGCGTCGTCGCAGATCGCCGCCATCTCGTGCAGGTTCTGGCACACGACGACGACGGAGACGCCGAACGCGTCGACGCAGTGGCGCGCGAGTCGCAGCGCCCGGGGCCGCACGTGGGCGTCGAGGCAGTTGAAGGCCTCGTCCAACAGAAGCACGTCGACGCGGCTCGGCGACTGCTTCTGCCAGAGGCAGACGGGCAGGAACCGCTCGCGCTTCGGGCAGAAGCACGGCGCCAAACACCGGAGGAAGTAGACGAGGTGGCGCTGGCCGCCGCTCAGGGCGCCGCAGGTGAGGGCCGCGTCGCGCGCGAAGGTGTAGGGGTCGCCGTACTCGTCGCCCGAGTCGTCCTGCTTGAACATGCGGAAGCCCGCCCACGTGAGGAGCCGCTCGCACAGCGCGAGGCGCTCGTCCTCCGTCAAAGCGCCTTTCAACGAACCCGTGATGGCCTCGTTCAGGCCCCAGGCGTCCTTGAGCACGTGCTTCGCCAGGTCGTGCTCCGTCGAGCAGTAGACGACGCGGCCCCGGTAGTTTCCGTCGAGCGTCCGCCGCATCGCGACGTCCACGCCGTACGAGATGACCACGAGCCCCGCGAGCCACAGGAGCGACGCCAAATCCACCGCGGCGCCCTCGTCGACCTCCGACGGGCCCAGCGTGATCGCGAGGAAGCTCGTGAGGCAGAACCCGACGATGACCGCGGCGACGAGCGTGCCCTGGTACGGGTCGAGGCGCTCGAACTTCTCGCTGTCGCGCGGGTGGTAGAAGACCTTGCCCTTGGACGGCTTGAAGTCGACGTCGCCGCCGCCGTACATCCTCGCCTTGCTCAGGACCTTGCAGAGCGTCGACTTGCCCTGGCCATTGAGGCCGATGACGCCGAGGCAGCGGCCGGGGAAGAGGCCGAGCTCGACGGACTTGAGCGAGAACTCGTCGCTGTGGTTCTTGTAGCTGAAGCACAGGTTCTTGCACTCCAGCACCGTGTCCTTGGTCTTCTTGCCCATGGCCGGCTCAGCGCGTCGACGACGGCAGCGGTGTTTTTTGCGCGAGTGGCTCTTGGGCCAATTGGGGCTTCACTTTAGGGTCAACGTGTGCTTCATCCTCGATGGGTGAACAAACGAGGGGGCAAAGAGGGCAGGGTGGCGAACGTCGACGCGCGCTCACGCGTCCTTGTCCGCGGCGAGGAGCGTCGCGCGGAGGGCGGCGGTGGCGAGGACCTGGAAGAAGAGGAGGTCGAAGGCCGCGTGGTAGGGCAGGGGCTTGACGCGCACGAGCGCGGCGCAGAACGTGCCCTCGACGACGATGGTCGCGACGGCGAGGACCATGAGGCCCGCGAGGCGCGCGCGCGTCGCCGGCGGCACGAGCGCGCCGAGGCCGAACTTGTACGCGGCGAGCGGCAGGAGCGCGTTCGCGAAGATGAGCGTGACGAGCCCGAAGCACGCGAACGCGAAGGCCCCGAGCGCGAGGAGCGCCGCGGCGCCCGCGGCGAAGGCCGGCCCCGGCGCGCGCCGGAGCGAGGGCGTCGTGGCGCGGAACGTGAAGGCGAACCAAGCGAGCGCGAGGGCGATGGACACCTCCGCGACGGCGTAGGCGCGCGGGTCCGGGACGTAGTGGCCGAAGGCCGTCCATGCCGCGAGCGCGACGAGGAGGCCCACGCAGGGCCGCGCGGCGCCGGGGATCTCGGGGACGTCCCGCCCGCAGAGCAGCGCCCGGAAGCGCGGCGACGCGGCCGCGAGCGCGGGCACGTAGGGCAGGTGGCACGCGAGGCTGCAGGCCTGGGCCGCGAGCGACGAGTAGGCGTAGGGCTCCTCGCAGAACTGGAGGTGGACCGCGCCGCCGCCGTGGTTCGGCGCGGCGTCGCTGTCGCGCGCGCCCGGCAGGCCCAGGAGCGCCGCGCGGAGCGCGAGCGCGGCCGCGAGGAGCGCCGCACAGGGGAACGCGAGGCCCTGGAGCGCCGCGACGGCCGCGGGCGACGGCGCGCGCGGCCGGATGGCCGCGAGCGTCGCGAGGATGTGGCCGAGGACGAGGACGCCCGTGGCGAAGCGCCGCGCGCGCGCGAGGAGCGACGACACGGCGAGGCCCGCGAGGCCGCAGGCGAGGAACGCGACGGCGGACGGCCGGAGCGCGCCGTCGACCATGGACCGCGTCGCGACCGCCGTCGCGAAGCGGTGCGTCAGGAACGCCGCGCAGGCGACGCCGACCCAGGCCGCGGCGTGGCCCTGGGCGCCGTCGCGGGCGAAGGGCACGACGGGCACGGCGCCGCTGACGAGGCGCGCGGGCCCGTGCGCGAAGAGCTCGAAATCCGCGAGCGGTAGCGCAGCGGCGACGCGCGCGGCCGCGGCGACGAGCAGCACCGACGCGCCCCGGCACAGGCTCGTCTCGACGCGCGACCCGGCGCAGTACATGCCCGACAACGCGCGCCGGTCGATGGCCCAGGCCGCGACGCCGAAGCCGGCGCCGAACAAGGCCATGGCCGCGAGCTCGGCGGTGAAGACCATGCTGGAGCTGCGGCGCGGCGAGAAGGGTGTTCCTTCGAAGCGCTCGAGAAGAACGCGAGCTGCGGCGCGGCGAGAGAAGGGTGTTCCTTCGAAGCTCTCGAGAAGAACGCGAGCTGACGAGAAGGGTGTTCCTTCGGAAGCTCGAGAAGAACGCGAGCTGACGAGAAGGGTTCCTTCGGGAGCTCGAGAAGACACAAGCGCTCGCCTTCAACGATGCGTAAGGATGCAGCAAAACGAATGTCCGCCAAGGTGCCGTTACGCCCCCGACTCTTCGTCGACGTAGTAGCGCGCGTCGCCCGGGTGGACCCTCGCCGACGGCGCGCGGCGGCCCGCGTCGGCGACGACGCGCGCGTGGGCGAAGGGCACGTGGTGCGCCGCGGCCGGCGCGTCGTCGCCCGCGGGGACCGCCTCCACCGCGCCGCCGTCGAGGTGGGGCGAGTGGACGACGCGGCCCGCGCTGTGGGACAGCGTCCCGAGGCGGTTGAGCTCGATCCACTGGTGCGTCAGCGCCTGGCGGCCCCGGCCGACGTCGTGCTGCTTGAGGAAGACGTGGATCCCCGCGGCCTCGAAGCGGCCGTGCCAGGCGTCGACGAGGGACCGCCGCTGCGCCGCGCTGATCTCGAGGGCGACGTAGATGCCCGCGCAGCCCAGCGCGAGCAGCGCGAGCACGTAGAGGACGACGAAGGGCGACGGCGGCAGCAGGATCAATCCGACGACACCGAGCGCCGGCGCGCAGACGAGCGGCAGGCGCCAGCGCGTGTAGCGGTGGACCCGCGCGACGCGGGCGTGCAGGTCCGCGACGAAGGCGGCCCAGACGGCCTCCGCGCGGCAGGCCCGGATCAGCGCCGGCGCGGGCCCGCCGGGCGCGTGCGTCCACCGGCTCGGCCGGTCCAGGTAGTCGTGCGTCGCCTGGAGGATGACGCGGTCGTCGCCGTCCGCCTCGCGCCAGCGCCGGACCTCGGCGTTCGACGCGAAGACGAGGCCGAGGCCGAGGGGCGCCATGGCGCAGCCGACCCCGGACAGCGCGGAAGCGGCGGCGGCGCCGACGACGGACCGCAGGCAGAGCGACGCGCAGCACAGCGCGCAGCCGCCGGGCCCGCAGACCGCGATGCCGCACTGGTAGCGCCGCGCCGGCACGCGGCCGCCGCACATGGGGTAGTAGATGGCGTCGCCCGTCTCCGCGTCGCGCTCCGCGCGCGGGCAGCAGCGCGCCGCGGGCTCGGCGTCGCCCTTGCCGTCGACGGCGACGGCCGCCTGCGCCGCCGGCTGCTCGACGACCGGCATCGGACGCGGAGCCTACGGCCCGGCGCCCATGCCCTGACTGTGGGCAGCCTTTCTCTGCAGCATGTTGACGACTCCATCGTCCTGGTTGTCCGTGGTGGACAGCATGGCCGCCAGCAAGGTCCGCGTCGGCGTGCGCGTCCAGCACGACGACCTCGACGGCCGCGTCGTCGCCAGCGACGGCGCCGATCGCGTCGTCGTCTCGCTCGAGGACGGCGCGAAGCGCACGCTGGACGCCGCGGCCCTCGAGCCGCGGTGCGAGGCCTGCGGCGCCAGCGCCAGCGCCTACTGCCTCGCCTGCAAGCGCGTTGCTTACTGTTCGACGGAGTGCCAGCGGGGCCACTGGCGCGTGCACCGGCGCGCCTGCCGCGACAAGGACGCGCCGGCGGAGGGGGAGGACGGCGCGAAGAAGCCCGAGGGCCTCGACGAGGCTAAGGTCGCGGCGCTCCAGGAGCAGGTGCTCGTGACGCGCTTCGTCGACGCCATGGTGCGCCAGGACGCGACGGAGGTCAAGGTCCAGGCGTCGAAGCGCCCGCCGGACCAGCGCACGCCGCTGCTCCAGGCCGCGATGCGCGTCGCGATGGCGTGCGGCGACGACGGGAGCTGCGACGCGGCGGTGAAGCGCGACACGGCCGTCACCGTCGCGCGCATCCTGCGCGGCGGCGTGCGCCTGTCGCGCGACGCCACGCTGCAAGAGTTCCAGGCCTACCTCGAGACGCTCCAGCGGCACGGCCCAGGGCAGGAAAAGAGTGCGAAATTCCCAACTTCAAAGGCTCCTCTCTCGGCCGCATTCCGCTCGTTTCGGCCGACTTTTGGACGAGCGATCATCGCTCGGAACGGTCTCGAAGCGTGGATGTTTGTTTCGGAACGCGCGCGCGCGGAACACTCACGTTGAAGCGACGTTGAATCTCTCATTTCCCGCCCAGGCACGGCCGCGGCGCGGGCGACGGCCGCGACGTCCTGCGGACGTCGACGCGCGACGCGCTCGCGCGGAAGCGGAGCTGCGCCGAGC